AAAATCTGGGCAGCAACCATTTGTTCCCAATCACAACCAACCTGTTACAAACCTGTCCAATACATCCTAAAACTCAAATATAAGTAATTGAAGGATGGAAACAAGGTACATACAACAACCAACACCACGGAACCTAAGTCCAGAATACAACAACCAAAGGAGAGAAAATTGGGATCGCTATAGGTAAGACGGTATTACTCCTAATAGCTCGGTCCAGTCGTGGTGGCGGTATCATAAGGCGGCTCATAGTGCGGCTTGGTTGGCATAAGCATAGTTTGCCTTCAACCGATTCAGATCTGCAAGAAGAACCAAGTATTAGGACTGTTACAATAATTTTCAAAGTCCAAACCGAACTATGCTCACCAGGGGCTCCTTTATTCCAGTTGATATTGTAGCTCGATATTTGGGCCTCCTGGTCTTCAAAATTGCCAGAGACCCAGAGAAAATCATCGTCGTTTAGATCCTTGTTTGGTGTGCCCTTGACCATTTTTCTCGACCCTTTCTGATTCGAAAGTAATGAATCCAACCATCGTTATTTTGGCTGAGCAAATATTGGTGAAATAGCTCGGCTAAACCAAGGTTGAGACTGAGGCGATGGTTTAGCTCGACAATTCCATTTATTATTCTATACGTTTTTTTGGATAATTAGGTAGAGCACAATCTGGTTTGCCTAAGAAATTCACAGATAAGAGGTTGGACTAGAAACCGAAGCCCAGCTTCAACAATAGATATAAGGGTAAAAGGGACAAAGTTCAGTTTGCCCCAAAATGTGGTATCTAGCTCGGCTAGCTCGAATTGTATGTCGTCGGGGATGTTGTAGTCCTTTCGGGACTTGGCTATGGCGTTGGGCGAACTCACCAAGAAGCGGTACTTGCCCATGGGAGTTGGTTTATCAGAAATAACTTAAGGCGTAGTTTGATTGAACTAGCAAGGCCGATAGCTCGGTTAAATAGCACCGCCAGGTGGTGTGGGGTAGGTGTGCCTGGCTAACCTAGTTTGCAAAGTGAGAAATAAGAGTGTTACACCCTAGTGATTGACAGGGCTACCAGAGTTTTGTTCGGCTCACAAGTGGGCAAGGTTTTTTCCTGGTTTTGCCTAGGCACACATTTTTTAGCTTGGTGAGGGACAACAAGCCATAGCTCGATCCTCATTTCTTGGGTAGAGCACAAACAAGGTCTTAGTTCAGTCACTGTTTCATTTCGATCAAAATAAATGTTCTGATCTGATTTCAATTCCTGTTGGGTCTTCCTAAAGTATGGGGTTTTGGGGTGCTGTAGCCATTTTTTAGCTACGTAGACCTCATTTCATTATGCGGATGATTGGGTTCATTAATCATGCATCAAGAACTTGAAGAATAGCTTGGACATTTTCGTAAAAAATATATATATATATATATATAAGAAAAATCAGGAAAACTTACGGATTCGAGCGAGGAGACTGATTTTGATCTGTAAGAGCGATCTAACATTGACGGCGAAGCACAAAAAGGGGACTAAATCTCAGAGTATGAAGGTGAAATAACTATGAACAATGGGTAGTGTGCAACTCAGAGTGTGCAGAGGAATGACAATGAACAATGGATGTGAAAGGGAGTATATAAAGATTGTATATGTGCATATGGTGACAAGGCGGGACCGTTTGAATTTTTGGGCAATGTGTGACAGTTATCACAGTGAAAGGGGGCAATTAACGTGTGCCACGTGTCCCGATGAGGACACGATGTCAAAAACGTGAAAAGATGGGCTTACGATCGGCGTAATGTTTGGAAATCGAGCTAGATTTGAGCTCAGTTAGTTTGAGTATTTCAACTCAGTTAAGCTGAGTGGTTTGGGGTTTGATTGGCATATATTCTGACAGTTCGGTCGGGACTGGATAATCCCAAACATGTTGCGCAGATGGAATTAAGGGACAATTGAGACAGTAATTTATGTGAATAAATTAGGCCGAGGTTGTGGGTGTAAATAGCCCAGTTATAGGCCATCTATACACCGAGCTATGAGAGATAATGCCAGGGCCTTGACCTAGCTGTTTAAAACTAAGCCCTGTGATAGACCAGGGTATTAGTAGGAAAGAAGGCAGTGCTAAGTGTAGCTCTGCAGGGCACCGTCTTGCAATGAGGGTTAACTCGGTAACGCCAGAGCAGTAATTGGTCGTGTTATCTCGGTTGATTGGCGTACCAGCCAAGCTAAAAGAGTTAAAGCCATAACACTTGGTTGACAGTGAGTAAGGTGTTATCAGGATTAACATTATCCTTGGGAGTGTGATTCTTAGGAGGACTCTGCTAAAGAGAATTAGAGTCATTTTAGGATTGTGCCAAGCGGAATCTGTAAAAGCTCATGACAGGGTCTATGCACAGGTATTGCAATTTTTATTCTCAAATACACAAAGCTTATTGTTTATTGTCTACTTGTTGACTTAGGCATCGGAGGGGTTTCTAGCACACACCCGTCGGGTAACTCACGTTTGTGTTTTCAGGTAACAAAGCGACGACGTTTAGAGGAACGCAAACTTCGTCAGCAGGATTATACGAGACAATTATTCTGTGCTCGTACAATGTTATAACATTACAATTTTAAAATTATGGACCCCACCTATTATACAAACTAAGATACTACATTCAACCTATAATCGTTTCACTTTTTATTTTACAACCATCAAATCAAATACAAAATAAAAAATAAAAATAAAAATAAAAAAAACTTCCTAAACACAACTTTTATAGCCACGCTAAAATAGCCAAAAACTTCTCAAACAAGGCCATAGATTCAAAGCTAATAAAAATGTCACGTCATTCGTTAGTACAGTAATTAATATATTAATGGGTGCGTATAACTTTTTTCATACATAATTAGATCACAAAATTAAAATAAATAAATAAATAAAGGCTTGTTTTGACAACTCGACTAAAAATTATTTTTTTGACTTTTTAACTTTTTAAAGTCACATTATCTCTGTATGTTTTTACACAATTAAAAAAAAATTTAAATAAACCAAAATATCAACTTTTAACCACTTCTCAAAACAAGCCAAAATTATACTTACCTCTTTATGGTTTGGGCCCTCTGACGTTTGGAAATCATTACAGTTAGAATTTCTATTAAAAATAACAGCTCATGTATAACACGCGTCTAATGTGCAAATGAGCATGAAAAAATGATTTTTCCTTCGAATTAAATAACTAAAACACCCTCATCTTCAACATCAATTTTCAAAGTCTACCCTTATCTTCACCATCAATACCTAGATCAAAAATCATCGTAGAGAACGATGGAAGAAGAACAAACATTGGACGACGGCCAGGGCTCTCACATTTCCTTCATTGGGCTTTATTTTCTTTTTTCGTTTTGCAGTTCGCTGGGTCGCTTTGCTGTCCCAATCTAGGAAATCCATAAAATTTTCTTATGAAAAGAAAAGTTTTATGGGGTAAGAAAGAAAGTTCATAGATTTCTTAAAAATAAAAAAATAAATAAAAAAAACAAGAAATTTAAGATTAGATAGAGGGTGAAGGAATGCATTGTTGACCAGTAGAGCTTCAATGAAGTGGCCTCACCACTCCCTTGGATTCACCTGTAGTGTGAAGATTTCGCCATTATTGTCATTCAAAACTAACTAATGCTAATCAAAAATAAAAACTCTCAAAATCGCAAAAACCACTTGGATTTGTATTTAATTGCTTCCTTTCCTAGAAAATTTTCCAAACATAAAATAATCGCCACAATCCTGTTTGTTACCTAGAAATATGACTTTAGTTTGTTACATAGAAATATGATTTCAATGTTTCGGATGATGATATTGATGAATCCAAAATAATTTTACGATTCCAAAAACATGATGTTGATTCTAGAAATATATATAATGATATATATATATGTGTATATGTTTGTATAAAATACATATACATACATATATATTTTGTTCTGAAAATATAATTAAATTTAAATTAAGTGGAAAAGTTAGGAATTGAATCAATAATTAGAAAAATAATGATAATTTGTGATTTAACTAATTAATTTTTTTTTGAAAATTATATTATTTAAATTAATTTGTTAAATTAAAATCATAATTTCACATGTCAAAACGTAAGTTCTCTCTAGACAACTCTTAGACTTCTCAAATGCATAATTATTGAATGAAAAATGATAAATAAAGATTATATGCATAATTATTGAATGAAAAATGATAAATAAAAAGATTATATATATATATATATAGAGAGAAAATACTCTTTCTATTTCTATCGTAAACAATATTAACTATATATTTCAATCCAATAACCCTAATGATTTTCTAAACGCCAAAGGTAAATTACAGTTACTCAAATCACTGGAGTAAAGCACAGTTTGCCCTTGTACTTATCGTTAGGGATATAATCGGTTCGGTACGATTGGCATTTCGATAAAAAATTATATCCAATTGATTAAAATGGTTCAGTTTGGTGCGATTTAATCGGTTTAAAATTTTTCAAACTTGAATCACTTTTAAATATAATCATTAATCTATATAAAAATATTAAATTAGTTATTTATCTACTATTTCAAACATATCTAATCCATCTATTTAATACATATTTTTTAATTCCTAAATTAATAAAAATAAAAACAAAAAAAAGTTCAAAAATATTAAAGTTTCAAGAATAATAAGTTAGAGTTAAGATTATATACAATAAGAATTTACAAACTTAAGTTATAAAGATGATAAGGTTAATCAAGATTACTAATTTATTATACTTATTAATATCATTATATTATTAGATTATATTTATATATATTATATAAATACAATATATATTAAAACGATCGATTTTAATTTAAATCAATGCACAAAATACTTAAATCAATATTACACCAAAATTTAAAAAAAATAAAATTTAAAAATTATACAAATCGATTCTTATTAAAAATACAAACACAACACAGCTTAATCGATTTTTTCGATTTTTCTTATCCTCTGCTTATCGTAATTTGATTTTAATAAATTTGTATCGTATATCAAAATGAGCCCCAATTCATAAACCCCCCCCCCCCTCTCTCTCTCTCTCTAAAACAGTCTCTCTCTCTGTCCGTTGTAGTAGTAGTCGCAGCCATGCGGAACCTAATCTCCGGGAGTATAATCAGTAAGGTCCGCCGTGGAATGAGCAGCCCATTGAGTCCATCTCCGGCGAGTCGAAGGGGGTACAGTCTGATACCAATGGTGATCGAGCACTCCTCCAGAGGTGAGAGAGCCTACGACATCTTCTCTCGCCTCCTCAAGGAGCGAATCGTCTGTATCAACGGCCCTATCTCCGACGACACTGCTCATGTCGTCGTCGCTCAGCTTCTCTACCTTGAGTCCGAGAACCCTTCCAAACCCATCAACATGTACCTCAACTCCCCCGGCGGCGCCGTCACTGCAGGTTCATCCTTTCAATCTACTCTCGTTTCATTTCATTACAATTACATATTTTGATTTGGATTTTTTCAAATTTAATTGGCATTTATGGTTAGGTTTTTAATTCAAACGGTTGTGGAAATTGTGCAGTTTTACTGATATTGCTTGAATTCATGCTGATTTTGATGCTTTACTCTTGTTTCATTTCATTTCGTTACATTACATTACATCTTTTGCCTTTTTGCTTTTTTATATTTTTTATTTTTAATTTGATTTGCAATTGGTGGGGTTGTTGGTTCAAATACTTGTGCAAATTGTGTAATTTTACTGATATTGATTGAACTCTTGACACTTTTGAATAGTTCACTCTGCAAGATATTTCCTTTTGAAATTTTTTTCAGATGAATTAATTGTTTTCCCCCATATTTGGGTGTTTAGGTTGTGTTTGGATTATGGATTTGGATAGGAATTTGGAAAGGGAAAGGATAATGAAGAAAAAATTTAGCTTTTATTCTTTCACATTTCCCTAATCTTTTTGTTTTCCATTTTCAAAACACTACCCGAATCTCTGATCCAAATGAATTGGCATATGATGAGGTTCCTGATTCAAACGATTGTGGGAATCGTGCTATTTTACTGATATTGCTTGAATTCAGGCTAATTTTGGCGCTTTACTCTTGTTTCATTAGATTACATTTTTCACTTGATTTTTTAATTTAAACTTCGTTTGTTTGGGCGGAAAATATTTTTCTATCTTTGGTGGTAGTAGTGGTGGGATGAAGGTGGAGGTGGAGGTGGAGGTGGTGGTGGTGGCATGGCGGTGGGGTGGGGTGATGGTGATGGTGGCGGTAGCGGTAGCCATAGTGATGGTGGTGTGGTGGTGGTAGTGTGGTGACATTGATAAAACTTGAGTTTGGAAAACATTTTCCGCCTGTTAAAAGTGGAAAACATTTTATTTATAAAAATAAATAAATAAATAAAATTGGATAACATTTTTTGTTGAAATAGATTTGTTTTTCGTTGACTTTCATTTTTCATTATACCAAACACCAAAAAATATGGAAAATATTTTCTGAAAATTGTTTCCGCCCAAACTAATGGAGTGTTAATTTGCAATTGGTGGGGTTCTTGATTCAAATGCTTGTGAAAATTGTGTTTTTTTACAGATATTGATTGAACTCATGCTACTTTTGGTACAGAGTTAAATAGTTCACTTTGCAAAATGTTTCCTTTTGAAAAAATTATGTCAGATGAAATAATTATTTTCTCCCATTTTTGGGCGTTTGGATGTGTTTGGATAGGAATTTGGAAAGGAAAACACATTTCTCTAGTCTTTTCCTTTTGCATTCCAAATTCCTCTCGAAATCTATGATCAAAACATAGCTTTAATGTTTTTTCAAAAACATATTGTCAGACAATTGATGGGCATACAAAATGAGATCTAGAACACTAGCAAGGACACTATTGAATTTGCTAAAGGTTAGAGAAGGGAGGGTGGTTGCAGGAAAGAGGTCTTATATGGGAGTTTGGGACTTGATTTTTTGTTTTTTTTAGTAACTAGGGAGTTTGGGACTTGAATTGAATGTTGAAAACTGAAGAAACCAACTGGGCATATTATATATCTATTACATTCATAAATACTAGCGACAATTGCACACGCCTATCAATTTTATATCTAAATTTTTGAGCAGTTTGCTAAATGATAAATATGGGTTGGTTTAAAAGGATAATTATCATTCTTTTAATGGATCCGAGTTGTTTATTTATTCAACTAACATTTTTATATGTATTTTTTGAAATCAAAATTGGGTGTGAAAGCTTCAAAAAAATAAAATAAAATTACGAGTTGTGTGCTTTATATAATAAAATTGAGAGAGTGATTATATTAATCAGTCTGGGCACTATCATCGAAATGGCTAGTCCCCAGTCGTTCATTCAGCAGTGGTTAGACATGGGCAACATGGGCTTGGGAAATAACTAATGGAGTTGATTTCTGTATGTCATTTTCTTCTGCTTGGCATAAAAACATTTACTTCAAAAAAAATTCCTCTTTTGTGGTCATACTAAAACACGAAATAAGAAAATTGTTTCCAAATTCCAGGTAATGTTCTGCACCCAACAAACTGAGCAGTTTCAATTGTACTTGCTTGGGGTTTGTGGTGACTACAATTACTAGTATGATATGAATTCATTCATAGAACTTGATGGAAATTTTCCACTTATTTACACTAGTTGTATTCAGAAACATTATTGAAATCCCTTGGTTCAATCCTTTTGTGGAAGTCTCACATTCCTATCAATGATGATTGCAATTTCAACTTGTATTTTCTTTGGGTTTGTGTCAACTAAATTCAGACCTTTACTCAGTTCTGTTTGAAACTAAAAATTCTAATGTCAAACATATGTGTTTATATATATGTGTATGTATGTGTGTATGTGAATTTATGTTTGTATCTTTTAAGTAAAGCTCACTATGATGGAACATGCTGATACGATTTGGCTATAGAAGTCATCCACACTATTATAATTACTATCTCATTGTTCTTTCATGTATTCTTTTCCATTTACTGATAATGCTTTGATTGATAGGCAACTTTCACGAGTTTGTGTCTGTTAGATAAAAACTACTACAACTGAAATCATATATTAAATCCTAATATTTTATTTTGTTAATTATTCAGATAACTTTGGTAGGATACACCAACGATGATGTGTGGTATATCATTGACATTTTAGTATAATCCTTCTGTTTTGTACTCTTTTATATAGGTCTTGCAATTTATGATACAATGCAGTACATTCGATCTCCCATCAGTACTATTTGTTTGGGTCAAGCTGCATCCATGGCTTCTCTCCTTTTGGCTGCTGGGGCAAAGGGTGAGCGGCGGTCTCTCCCTAATGCAACAATAATGATTCATCAGCCTTCGGGTGGGTACAGCGGGCAGGCTAAAGATCTGACCATTCACACAAAGCAAATTGTACGGGTGTGGGATGTATTGAATGCATTATATACAAAGCATACGGGACAGCCCATAGAAACAATTGAGAAGAACATGGATCGGGATTATTTTATGACTGCAGAAGAGGCAAAGGAATTTGGGATAATTGATGATGTTATTGATCAGAGACCAATGGCTCTAGTTACGGATGCTGTTGGGGATAAGGCCAAAGATAAAGGCTCAAATTAGTATTTGAGGATAAGGTCCCATCTCTCTCTCACTGTCTCATTTGCATTTAGTTGAAAAGATTTGCAGATCTCGAAGTTTTTTGTAATGAAGCTGAGATTATGTCTTTTGTCTCATAATTGTTTCCTAATTTAATATATTTGATGTAGGTGTTTCCTTTTCCTTTTTTTTCCTCTTCCCTTCTTCAATTGTTATTTTATCCAATAGAGACACCCAAATTTTGAAGATTATAATTTTTTTAATGTAGCACAGGTTAGAGAATTTTGCTGTGTGCTATATGATTTTTCTCTCTTGCAAGTATATTGAGGCCCATTTTCCATTGCTTTCAAGCTACACCTATTGGTTAAATTTATTTGTCAGATTATTTTAGCGGGATCGAATACTATGGAATTATAGATAGGATTATGGGGGATAAGTTATACTATGGGATAAATGGGTTAATGCTTAGCCAAACTTCTATTTTATAAGTGAATGCTTAGCCTTAACTCTTTAATTATGTTGTCTTCTTTCATGTCTCCAAATTAATACTCAAGTTCCTCCATCCTTTTCATTATCCAAATTCATAACAGCAGAGAACTAATAATGTAATTGCATTAATACTTGCGTTGTAGTTCTAGTTCAAAGGAAGGGATAAAACCTGACCTTGGGGAATAATTTTGAAGGGGATGGACTATAAGATCATGTTAGGGCACTCTAGGATTTGTACCATCACAAATATTGCATGATTGTAAATAAATTTTGTTCCATTCTTATATTTTTTAGTATTAAAAGGGCTGTGTGGCCCTATGGTAAGGTTTACTGTTTGCGTTCCTAATGGCATGGGTTCGAGTCATGGAAACAGGCTCTCTAGAAATGGAGGTAAGGTTGCATACATCTTACTCGTCCCATACCCTGCTTTAGCAGTCATACATTGGGTTGCCCTTTTGTTTTTTTTAATGTTTTGGAGTTTTGCTCAATACTAGGCATAGGAGTAACACTATCATTTCTCTAGGTTGTCAAAGGAAAAGTACGATAAATTTTACAAAATGAGGTGCTTGCCTTTTCAAATGAGATTGGTGTTGTGGTGGTTGTGATAGTTTGATGGAGGTTGCTAGAAGTGTACGGGGGGATCAATTTGTGAGCCTGATCATCCATATATCTCATCCCAACCATTCACTGTGAGGTCGTGGAGAGTCTGGTCTGCCTGTATTAATTGGTGGGGTGTGGAGTGGGCAACCCTGTGTTCTGTTTCCTCCTTACTCTCTTGGTGGCAGGATTTTACAGTTAGGAAGAAAGAGAGATTAATCTGGGATTCCTTTCCGTTTGCCATTTTTTGGTCTATATCTGGATTATGAGGAATGAGTTATTGTTCAATAAGATTCAACCACATTGGGATCTCCTTCCAGACCTGATTATGGCAAGGGTTGCCTTTTGGGTTGAATCCAAATCAAAGTTTAAAGATATTTCGGTGAATGATTTTGTGTTCCACTTCCAACAGATCAGATCTGCTCTTTGAAGGTGGGTGTCTTCAATGGCGGTTGATGTGATGAGTTGCTTGTAGGTGCCTTGACTTAGGAATTGATTGGATGGCCATTGATGGAGATTAGATTCTGCTCTATCTGGTCCTCTTTTACAGCTGCTGTTTTTGGGAATAGGGGTAGAGGTGGCTGTGTTGTTTTTGTGGGTTTGGGTTGGTTTATTTTCTTTCCTTGCTCCTTTCCCTTGGGCTTGGGTTGATTTCTTGTCAGCATGTGCTCCTTGGATTGGAAGTGTGATGCATATGATTTGTGCAGGCTCTTCTTGTGCCAACCTAGCTGGGATGAGTCAGGTGTGCTATGATATGATCCATCCTTTGCACTTATTTGGTTTTTATTAATGTAATTTTTGTTGAGTTCATTAATAAAGACCTTTTTTTTGCTGATCAAAAAACAAAATAGAAGTTTGTTTCTACTACCTAGGTTTTCGCATTATCCTTTTTACCTTGATTTACACACACCATATGCCTTTTCTTACCCTTATCCACCTTATCCATTGGAAGCATAGTACTTATCTTTTGATCATCTCCTTTGTTACAATACACAATACAGTCTATGATCCAGGCATGTCTGGTCAATTTGTTGGTGATTTTATGAGCCAACATGGACGTCCCATGAAATTTTCTGTTTCGCCATTTGTGCTCTTCAACAGCCCAACGTCTTTGCCTTTTTGCCTTTCGAAGCTCGGATACATTTCTGAGCCAGCCATGAGACTTCATACCCAAGCAGAGTGAGAGATAGCTGCATAGCTCTACCTAGTCACCAACAAACATCTTGATGGCTAAGGACATTGAACGTCTTAGATCCAAGTTGAGGAATCCTCTACATCTTTGTTTTGACTTGTAAACCTTCTCCCTTTAGAGACTCGACTAATTCTATAACAAATGTAGCACTTAATTAAACTCATAACCTGACAACTAAATAATCCTGATACTATACTTAACAAGAACAAAAATTACCAAATTGTCCCATATAGAAATTTGTATAAATGTTCCTGGTTGCTGAAGTAAATCTCATTTATCATATGAATAGCTATTGAAGCCATTTTGGTTTCATCCACCGTGGGTACCGGTTGGTCCATTAGTGGGGCTGACAGGGCTGCCTTTCTTCTTTCTCCTTTTCCAGTCATAGACTTCTAAAGGTTTATTCCCTAGTTAAGTAATAAAGTTTTTTTTTTTTTTGAGACTTCATGTTGGCACGTAAATTTCAACTAAATTTATGTTCAAATTTCAAATACGGTCAATTAGTTAATGACACCCATAGAGTCTATGATAGGATTATCGTAGGTAATCACTTCCTAAAAGAATCAATTCGATCCGTTGAAGTGCATAAATAAAACAATGTATGTTATTCAAGATACCTAAATGGCATGTGGAGCCTATGAAAGATGACATTTGTAGAGCTTACAACAAGGACACCACACAGGATAAAATCCAAAGAATTAATACGATTAATCAGATATGGTTACGCCTAAATTCAAATGGTGTTATCATTCGATTTGAAATTCAAATAGCGTTATCTATGAAGCACGGACACGTCCCTGAGGCTTGCGTATGAGTGTCGGACACGGACACGCGTACGACACGCTGTGGACACGTGTCTGACACTCTTCCCTACGTGTCCCCTTTTTTTCAGAATTTTTCAGAGTCGGACACGAGGTTGGACACGCGAGGACACGATTCAGACATGCAAGTGGATCGAAGAAGCCCTAGAACTGTTGGAGAGGAGAAAGAGAGAGAGCCAGATCCAGAGACAGATCGAGAGGAGAGACAGGGAGATAGATCGAGAGAAGAGAGAGACAGATCGAGGACAGAGAGAACAAGCCCTAACCTGTTCTTCTTCTCTCTTCTGCTTCTCTGTTCTTCTGCCTTCGTCTTCGCTGCTTCGTCTTCGTCGCTTCGTCTTCGCATCGTCTTCTCGTCTTCGCATCGTCTTCCTCTTCCTTTGTCTTCGTCTTCCGTCTTCTATCTTCTATCTTCTTTCGTCTCTCCTTCTTTCTCTCTCTTTCTTCTCTTCCCTTCATCTGATTTCATGTCTCTCTCCACTCCACCCTTTTCTTTTTATTCTCTCTTTCTTTTTTTTCCGTTTGTTTTATTATTTATATCCATATTTTTATTCAAATTTATAAAATAAATTATTTTTATTTTTAAAAAAAAATCAATTTTTATTAAAAAAAAATTAGATAATATATTTATTAATTTTATTATTATTGTAATTTTATAAGAATTAATATTTTTTTAAATTTTAGATATAAAATAAATAAATAAAATTATATATATTAAACGTGTCCCCAACGTGTCGTGTCCCATATTTTTTGAAAATTTGCGTATTTACGTGTCCGTGTCGTGTCCCGTGTCCATGTCCGTGCATCATAGAGCGTTATCATTCGATTTGAAATTCGAATAGCGTTACCATTCAATTTGAAATTCAAATGGAATATGAGGCACTCTTATCACATGGATGATCCTCTATAAATATTATATGAGGACCATGACACGAGGGGGGATCGAAAATCAAAAGTCAGAGAGTCAAAGGTTAGAGAGAGAGAGAGAGAGAGAGAGAGAGAAATCAGGTGTTAAAGAAGTCTTCACAAGAAAAAAGAGGAGAAACCCAAAGAACTCAAGAGTTTACGCTACAAATGCATAATGACGATAAACAGGTAAAGGGTTCTAAGCCCAAGAAATGTACTTTGTATTTAACAGTTTAAAACCCACAACAACTACAAAAAAATATTTCCATTCCTTATATTATTTTTTGTTAATTTTCTTGTTTTTCATTAATAGGAGGTTTCATTTAAATAAAGTGTGTAATTAACAATCTGGAATGCAAGAGCCTCTACTGAAAACATGGCCATCATCAGGGCCATTTGGAAGGAGGGTAATGACCTAAACTCCTGTTGATGGAAAAACAACCGCCTTTGTTGATAAAAAAAACAACTGCGGCCTACGAACCGATAGTTTTGTTCAAGGCACAAAGTTTGCCTCCAAAACCAGAGGTGAAGGCAAAGCCTGTTGTTGAGGAGGTGAAAGATGAAACTACTGAAGCTACAGATGCACCGGCTGATCCTGCCCCAGCAGAACAGGCTCTAGAGGTGAAGACAGAGGCAGCTGAAGCAACGGATGTTGTAACAATGGTGATGATCAAAGCTGTCAAAGCTCGCCAGATCTTCGACAGCCGTGGAAATCCAACCGTCGAAGTTGATGTCATTTGTAATGATGGACCTTTTGCTAGGGCTGCTGTTCCTAGTGGTGCTTCCACAGGTGTTTATGAAGCTTTGGAATTGAGAGATGGGGGTTCAGATTATCTCGGAAAAGGTGTCCTCAAGGCTGTGAATAATGTGAATTCAATCATCGGACCTGCATTGATTGGCAAGGAACCAACAGAACAGACCAAAATCGACAACTTCATGGTGCAAGAACTCGATGGGACAGTTAATGAATGGGGCTGGTGCAAATGCTATATTGGCAGTTTCACTTGCTGTATGTAAAGCAGGAGCTATGAAGTGTTGTTGAAGAATCTGCCATGAAAGAAGAAATCGAGGAAATTTGGGTTTGTCCGGCGGGCGGCCAAGGCGAGATTGCTGCCCGCCGGTGAAACGAAATTACTAGGTTCTTAACCAACAACTGTCACAACATTGTCTGCTACAACGGTCCGACATGACCCCATAAACTGTCTTCTACAACGGTCCGACATGACCCCATAAACTGTCTTCTACAACGGTCCGACATGACCCCATAAACTGTCTTCTACAACGGTCCGACATGACCCCATAAACTGTCTTCTACAACGGTCCGACATGACCCCATAAACTGTCTTCTACAACGGTCCGACATGACCCCATAAACTGTCTTCTACAACGGTCCGACATGACCCCACACCACTACCACCTCACCTACTCCACTAAACCTAACCCACTACACCACTACCACCATCCACTACACCTACATCTATATAAGGAACCATTTGTAATAGACAGAATATATCAATCAATTCATCAATCAATAATACATAAATTCTTACAGAATCCAATCATTTCTGAGGGGCCAAATAAAAAAAAAAAGGAGCATCCGTTGCCCTGATGAGGTTCGAATCAACATCAACTGGTCCCAGTTATAGGCTATAAAAAAACCTCCCTGTTCCAAAAAAATCAAGGGACTGTTTTGAAAATCCATGAGGAATTTGCAAAAACACAAACGACTCCTTCTATGCCCTTAGGTGCTCGGCCTGATATGTCATCAGATGGTCCAGTTTCGAAAAGACAAAGGCAAAGGAAGAATAAGGGCTTAAGAAAACTGGAATGAAGGATAGTGGCGACAAATGTTATAGGAGCTATTGAAAAGGTTCTCGAGAGAGATGAATGCCAAAAACAAATTGAAAGTTCTGTCTTCACACTAGGAAGAACTATGGAATCGAACTCGTGAGGGAATAAGAAAAAGGCCTGTAACAAGGTCTATGACCCGTGAGACTCAGAACAAAGTATCATAGTTAGATGCTTCAAATGTAAGTAATGCTGTGGGGATCGATAATCTTTTATACGAACAAGATGATTTTGTTTCATCTAACTCATTTGTTTCAACGAATATTGAAAACGATGATTTGAGAGATGTTAACAAAACCGTTGCAATTATGATGACTGATGTTGAAAAGGAAGGCGAAAATTTGCAAGTCCAACAGGACCAACAGGGTCTCAAGAAAAAAGTGGTGCTCTATAAGAACAACTTGAAAGAAGAGAACGGGAAATGGCTGCTATGTTAGAGCAAATGCAACAGTTACATGCCTAAATGATAGAAACAGGAAGTGCACCCAAACAAATAGCACAACTTGTAGTGGAGACATTTGTAGGTGTACAAAGCACACTAGTCCTAGGGGGTAATGGTCCTCGTTACTCTAATCTAACCAGTGGTGGTATGAATCCAATGCTCATGGCCATGATTGATGATATGGCAAGGAAACAAGAAAGTCAAAGAAAAAGATGGTGAGAACTTTCGAGTAATTACAAAGCCTTACCTAGCATGGGTAGAAACTATTCCATTTCCTTTTGGTTTTTCCCAACCAGATTTTAAATGTTTGATGAGACAGGGGATCCAAGACATCATGTGGCTCACTTTCTTTTAAGATGCGGGCCAATTGCCCTGAATGAGGTCCTTTGTCTACAACTTTTTGTCCAATCACTTGAAAGTTCTGCATTTACATAATAATGTAACCTTCCTGAGGGATCAATCCCAAATTGGGATTTTATGGTGAAGGAGTTCCTTAAACAATTTTGTAACACGCAAAGCCGAGTTGGAGTACCAAAACTGATTGAAACCAAGCAACATGACAATGAGCCTGTTACAAATTTCATTGCAAGGTGACGAGTTTTGACATTTGCCTGCCTCAAAAGTTCACGCAATTAGAGTTAATTTGGATGTGCCTTAATAACTTCCGACATGAGCTCTCTATGGCTCAAACTTTTGAAGGATTCAACGATTTATGCACTAAAGCTCATGATATGGAGTTACATCTAGCTAAACGAAGGAGGTCTAGGGCAGTTGAAAGGGTTGAGTCCTTAACCGCAACTATAGTTGAAACCAGAAAGAAGGGTCTTGTTGTAGTTGGGGCTAAAAAGCCCAAGGAATTTAAAAAGGTGACTATGAAAGAAAGGTTGGAGCAAAAATATTTGTTCACAGATGATCTGGTTAAGGATTTATTTGGAGATCTGTTGGAGCAAAAGTTGATTGCTCTCCCTAAGGTGAAAAGACCACATAAGGTGGGAAAAACGAACGATCCAAAGTATTGTCCATACCATCGTTTGATTAGTCATCTGATGAAGGATGCTTTATTTTGAAAGATAAAATTCAGGAACTTCTGGACTCTGAGCTCCCTTCTCAAGAGAAAGCATCTGCTAACCCAATCACTATCGACAATGATAATGAAGGTGAATGGGTCGTTTATCAGTCGAAAAGCATGAGGAAAAAGCAAGATGCCACTGTGAAAGCTGGAAATGTGGTTGCTTCTACAGCACAATAAGGACCAAAAATTTCCAAGCAAAAACCAAAAGTTTCCAATAAACAGAGAAAGGCTAAAATAAGTAAGAGAAAAAGAAAGAATGACCCAGAGAAGGAAAAATGAGAGAAATTGGTTTCTTCATGTGATGCTTTATTCATCTGGTGAACAACTAGAACAGTGTCCCCTTGTCCCAGTCACATTAGAGATGTACTTTGATAAGAGGAGGGAGGAAAAATTTACTTTGACCTCTTGGCTAACCATCATTGTTTTGAGTGATGATGACGAAGACGAAGATGAAGATGAAGATGAAGATGAACATGAGGTTTGTTCAAAAGTTAGAGAAGGCGATTGTATTTGTATCACATCTCCTTTTTGTATACCTAACTCCTAAGAGTATACGCTAGCTTCTTCGGAGTACACGCTAGCTTCTTCGGAGTACACACCAGCTTCTACAGAGTACACGCCAGCTTCACCAATATACAATTCAGAAGCCTTTTCTCCAGAATATTCTCCAGTATCACCAGTGTACTGTTAAACTCAAAACCTAACTACTAATTAATCCAGATACTTATCTTGAAGAACAAAAAAATTACCAAATTGTCCCATATAGAAATTTGTATAAATGTTCCTGGTTGCTGAAGTAAATCTCATTTACCTGATGAATAGCTATTAAAGCCATTTTGGTTTCATCCACCAACTGTGGGTACCCATTGGTCCATTGGTGGGGCTGACAAGGCTGCCTTTCTTCTTTCTCCTTTTCTAATCATAGACTTCTAAAGGTTTATTCCCTAGTTAAGTAATAAAGTTTTTTTTTGGGACTTCATCATTTTTTTTTTCCTATAATATTTTTATTTTTACAGCGAGATGTCTAGAGGGGTTCGGAGACATTATGGGCCTGTTTGGTATCATTTTTGTTTTCGTCATCTTCATTTTTCTTGTTTTAGGGAAAAATGAAAAGTTTGAAAGCACCCATAGTTTTCAATATCTTTTTCATTTAAAGAAAATATAAATGGTTTTTCCTAAAAAGTGGGTTGTTTAAAAAAATTTCTGAAACAGTTCTCCAAACAAATTTTGTGTTTTCTGAAAAATGAAAGTAGGAAGGAAAAATAAAATCTAGAAAGGTCCTAAGGTTTCTTCATGTTCTTAAATTTCAGAAGGGTTGATTGAGGCGCACAACTGGAAATAAAATAATAATAAATTCTAGACCTTTAATCCCGAAACCCTATTCCTTTTTTGAAGTACCATTCTAGCCTCAAAAACAGAAAATTGAAAAAGCATGATTATTCGATTTCATACTAAATGAGCCTTAAACCTCAGGCAATTCAATCTCAGATCCATTCTTGAACCCAATCTTACCTTTTTAACCATAAACCCCAAAAGTTGAAGGCTGAACCTGCCGTACCTGATTGTAGGGTAGCCTCTATTGGGCTCCATCCTATATCACTACTACATTGTTCCAAAGATGCTGCAATTACCCTCTGTTTTAACAGAAGCAAGCAATATTCCAACCACGAATATATCTGCTACAAAGTTAGAAATTGAGACAAACTCTTCTTTTACAAGTGAATGCCTCACCTTAACTCCTCTTTAATTATGTTGGCTTATTTTGGGAAGATGGTAAAAAGTGACTTTTTGGCTTTTAACCAAGCTTTTGGCTTTTTTAGACAAATGATTTGGAAAGTTGGTAAAAAGTTACTTTTGACTTTTTTGATTAATATTTGTTTATGATGTCAAATCACAATAAAATGACTAAACTACCCTTATTTATTTAAAATATTTACAACTTCACCCATGTAACACGTTTTAACCCATAAGGGGTAGAATTGTAATTTCACTATTGGTTAAAAATCAACTTCCCAAATGAAAAAAATGAGAAAAAAGCCAGTTTTTAACTTTTACTACAAACTTAAAAAAGTGACTAAAAATCATGTTGCCAAAACACCCCGTTGTCTCTGTTCATGTGTTCATGTCTCCAAATTAACACCCAAGTTTTTTCCATCCTTTCATTATCTAAATTCGTTAGAGCAGAGAACTAATAATGTAACTACATTGACACTTGCATTGTGATACTCTTAGTTCTAGGTCAAAGGGTAAATCCTGACTTTAAGAAACAATTTTATAGGGTCAATCAAGGATTTGTACTGTTGCGAATATTGCATGATTGCAAATGAAATTTTATTAATCTTATATTTTTTAGTATTAAAGGGGCTGCTTTGCCTAGTGGTTCTTGATGGTGCGGATTTGATTGACGAAAACTACCTCTGTAGAAATAGGGATAAGGTTGTGTATGTATTGCCCTCATCATACCCAGCTGCTTTAGTGGGAGCTTCGTACATTGCTTTACCCTATTGTTTTTGTTTTTATATTTTTGAGTATTGGTCCATACTAGGCATATAAATAACACTATCATAGTATCATGTCTCCAGGCTGTGGAAGGAAAAGTATGATAAGTTTTACAAGATGAGGTGCTTGCCTTTTCAAATGGGATTGTTGTGTGGAGGTGGTCATTTGTGGTGGTGTGCTGTGGTCGTTGTGACATTAATGGAGGTTGCTAGAGTGAACGGGGTGTCAGCAGCTTTGGTGTAATGAGAATCAGCAGGGAAGAGTTATCGAAGATTTGTACAGAGATGCATGGACTTCTTGCTGGTGGAAAAGAAGTGGCAGTTTTATATAGTTGGTACGTCTTCCCTCTTTTGAAGGGCAAAGGATACTAGCTGCCAACAGTTTCTTTCTTTCCTTGAATATCTGTCCTTTTTTCCTCTTTTCCTCCTCTTTTCTGGACAGCCCTATTGCTAGAGAGCAATAGTGGCTGTTGACATGGCAGAGTACAATCACTTGGTGCATTAAATAGTTGTACTTTGTGCATGGGTGTGGTGGTGTTGGTGTTGGTGTTGGTGTTGGTGTTGGTGTTGCTGGGGAAAATTTGTTGCTTTTGGTGGAGTACATGTATCCTTTCTTCTTCAACAATCAAAGATCCTATCCATCTGTAGTTTTTTGTCATGTCCTTTTAGTCTCAATTTGTGTGCCTGATCATACATACATCTCATCCCAAACGTTCATAGTTGGCTACAGAAGTTTGCTTCACCAGTCTACTGCCTAGGGTTTTGTATTTTCCTTTTTTCTCTTTTTTTCTTTTCTTGATTTACACACAGCTATCTTACCATTGCGACATAGGCATCATGGTTCAAACCACATAAACAGTGTCACTACATGGATGGTTAAGACTGCGTACATCTAATTCTCTTCACACCCCAGGATAGCAGGAGCCTTGTGCACCGGGACTATCCCTTTTATATGCCTTTCTTACCAATTCCCTGTTTTCTTCTCTTCTGGGTAATTCCTGCCTTTGATTTGGCTCAAATTCACCGCCTATTTAGGCAAGTGGACAATTCATCCTTCTACTTTGATCAGAAGACCTTGACTTACGGATAGTTTCTGTTGGAGAAGAAGAATAGGCCTTGCATTTTAATAAGTCCTGTTCAATACAATTTAATATGTCCTGTTTTGTTTTCTGTATACGTCTAGTGTACTGGTTTGAGCCGCTTTTGTGGTCTCTTTCTGAATAAATTTTATCTTTCTTTTTTTTTTTTAACTTACAATGTACACTAAAAGAGAGTTTTGGCCTTTAACCATCTATTTCTAATATTTCCCTGTAATTTGTGCTGACTTTATTATCAGGACAAAAATAATGGTAGTGATGATAATTTATTGCTAATGGTGACGAACTAAACTGACTTTTTAAATTTTTAAAAGCTTTCTATGTTCCACCATTAGAGGGAACTGATAGGAGTTAAATACTAAAATCATTAAATCAAGCTGATTGATGCCCCTTCATGTGTGCGGTGCTGTTAATTGTTGACGTATTTTTTGGAGCCTAACAATTTGCGTAGGAATTACATTACATCTTTATCAATGGTGCTTCATGTATTGGTTCCAAGTTGCCCTCATAATGTTGACAGTGCATTTTTTGGGAGGCTAATAATATATATATATAGAGAGAGAGAGAGAGAGAGAGAATAAAATGTCATGATATTGTTTCCAGGGTTACTTTCTGTTGTTATGGACATATTTTCTGACCTGAGAAAATGTTCATGTTTGACCACTCATACATTCTGCACTTCATTAATTTTAAAATAGTAGCCTGATTTTTTATTATTATTATTATTTTGCTTGGAGAACTAATTGTTGGACACTTACTTTTTTGTCTTTTGATTTTGGTGCAGTTAGTTAGATGGTTCCTGGTCAGCATCTCTGTCCTTTACGGGGTGTTTGTTTTCTAGTACCTGAGCTAACACTGTTGATTTGTTGGATTATATAAGTGATCAGTTGCTTCCATTTTGAAGTTTATTAGTCTAATGGTCATTTTTGAGACAAAGATTGCATTAGCAAGAAGCTTAGTAAGTTATCTTTCTGTTCATCTCCTTTGTTATGATTCACAGCAAGGTCTATGAACTGGACATGTTGATCAATTTGTTGGCGATTGTATGAGCAGACATGGACTTAGCATGGTCCATGAAATTTTCTGTTTCGGCATTTGTGTTGTCCAAAGATTTGTTCTCTTGTTTTGTACATGCTATATTTTGATGCCATTTGCGGGGACACTGCAGTTCCGTGGTTCGTTTTATAGGATTTTCTCTTTTTTTTTTTTTTTTTTTTTTTTTTTTTTTTAATAACAAGGAATCCCCTAATGCCACCAATGGTGAGACTCGGCATAAAATCTGACTCATATATCATAATGCGAACTCGAATCTAAGACCTTCTGATTGTTTACCTGATAGAATGTAGTTTTGCTTGAAAGCTTTGAACCATAACATGGGAATGTCTTTTGGAATTGTTTTGATCTTTGCGTGTGTCTGTAATCCTGGAGTATCACGTGATGTTTTTCATATAATGCTCCCAACTAATGATGCAGCGAATATGTTTACAGGTGGGACAATGTTGACCTGCCTTTGTTAAGTAATTGGGAGACGAAATGTCTACCTAGTGTGTTTTGTGATTTTTTTTATTGGTTAGAAGTACCATATGAACAATGTCATATGATATTTCATAACTACCTTGCGATCAATTCTTGGACTTGCTCATCAGCAGATGTTGCTATGAGCGTCTTCAATGCATTTGTCATTACTATATATATGGCAGCTTGGGCAAAAAAGAGAGCTTCAGTACAATTGCCATTTGAGTTGCTAAATTTTGGTTTTCTTTTATGCTAAAAATAGCACAAGATTTGACAAATTGCCAAATTTTGGCAAGCCTTCTCTTACTTTTATTGGGGGTGTTTGTTATAGATTATTTTAATTTGAAAATCTTGTGTCAGACTGCCTGGTGTAGTTTCTACTTACAGTTTATTAGGTAAAAATAATTTACATAATATGAAGAACTGGTTGTCTGGAAGTTGGGGGAGGGTGTGTGCTTTTAGCTTCTACTTTTTGATTATTAGCTTTTAAGTTTTAACTTATAATAAATTATACCAAACAAAGTCAATGTTATTTGTATTTTTGCTAGTTTTTATTTTTATTTTTATTTTTTTTTTAAGAAAACATTTTTTCATCGGAGTATGATCGTCAAATTTTAAAATTGAAAAAATGTTCTTATAAGTTATAACAATGCTCTTCAAAATTTTGGATAGGTTAATGCTCAATAATAATACTATAATCATCATCTGTCATATTTTGTTTACTATATATGTACACATTAGTTGATGATATATAAAATGTAATAACATCGTCACTGTAGTAGTATATCCATTTATTTTGTATTTTGTAACTTACATCCATTGAAAATTAAAATGTCATCATCATGGTTCATCATTGCCAAAAAAAAAAAAAAAAATTATATATATTATCACACCGTTTTTATCTTAAATTGTATATAAATATCATTTTTATAGTTTCATTAATTCACAGAATATTCTTGTTGCACAGGTTATTTTAGGTATAAATTCCCCACTGTGAATGGCTGAGAACACACCCAAAACAGGACAAAAAAAAAGGGATCAGACTTCTCTTTAGTTCGTGATCGGACTGGAACGTGTTATTCGACTTATGAGGGTTTATCACAAATAATATTTAGATAATTTGAACTGTTTAATGTGTAGAATTCGTCGAGTATTTTATATCTGTAAAAAATTACATTGATCAGATATTCATAGTTACTTGATCGGACTATATTTCTGTCAACGGTAAATATAATTTTTAAAATAAATTGTTGACAAAAATCTGATTAGATTAATTAATTATTGATATCCGATCAACGTGATTTTTTATAGGAATAAAATAATCGATAAATTCTATACATTGAACGGTTTAAATTATCAAAATAAAATCCGTAGTGAACTTCATGGATCCAACAGCACCGTTCATTGCCAATCCCTTTTATGGACGGGAGACAGGCTTATTGATGGGTGGATCTCAATAATAAGAATGCAATGTGATGTTGCCTACGTATCACTGTAGCAAAATCTGCCTCATCGATCCTCAGAAGCTGATGAATATTTTTTAGTACCAATTTTCCTAATTAATGTTGTGTTCATCGTTTGCATTTTTCTGCCTGATGTTGTGTTTGTTTTTTAGGTTTTGTTTGGATTATAAATTTATATTGGAATTTAGAAGGAGAAATAAAAAATGTGAATAAAATATATAGATGAAATATAATTATATTTTATTCACATTTTTTTTAATTTTTTATTTTCTTTTTAAATCTCTACTCAAATCTATAATCTAAACACAGTTTTAAGTTTTTCTCTTCTTTTCGGGTGGCTGTGCAACAAGGAGAGGAAATCAAATATATGGTTTATTTTAACAGGTCATCAAATTTTGTAACACTCAAGTGAAGTCTATTTTATTTTATATGACGATAGATACTTTCTGGGTAATATTGAAAATTAAATTTGTTTCTAATATGATGCATTAAACACTATTTATTTTATTTAAAAAAACTAACTATCATTAATTACAAAAGTAAATGACACAAAGGAGCCACTGTGGAAACATATGTAGGACATGAAAAAAAAAATTGCATATCTAAAATATAGTTCTCCCTCAAAACCTCCTTCCATCATTGGAATCTGAAACAACGCCTAAATTTCTACAAACTATATATACAGGCTTGCCAATCCTAGTTTTTGTTTTTTTTAGAGTAAGGTTGAAAAAAAGCCAAGTCTTGAATTTTTCAAGTTTGGTTTGATATTTTTTAGTTTAAATTATATTTAAACTTAATTTGTTTACATAACGAACTAACCTTAAACGAGTTTTTAACAAGCCGAACACGAGTCATTGTTAAGTTGATTTTTTTCTAGTGTATGTAGGTAGCCGAGTAGTAGATTGTTCAAATTTGACTTGAAACCTTGTCGAGTTTAAAATTGTATTTAATTTGGACTTATTTACATAATAAGTCGATCTCGATCGAGCTTTTAATGAGTCAAATAAGATTCAAGCTTAAGTCGCTTTGTTTGTTTAATGCCTCTAATTAAGAAGTCACCTTCTCTAAATCTAGGAAATATATGTGTCAAAGTGTAAATTAAAAATTGAACAATATAGGAAATCAACAATTTGTTCTCTTATTGATAGATTAATTTGTCTTGTATTGGCTTCATCGCTTTTAAAAGTTACAAAGGAAAGTATGTTTTCAATTTCGAAAATTATGAAAACCAAACTATAGAATAGGATGGAGGATAATTTTCATGTTACAAATTTTTCGTATTTTTTTGTATGTAGTTAATTTTTTTTTAAAAAAAATTCTACAAAAATTATACCTTTTAAGTTTATCTAAATTAAGTAGATCTAAAAAAATTTAAAAATTGATTAAATTATTAAAATAAAAAAATACAGATTGAAAATTCAAAATGAACAAAAATTTCACTTTAAACATACCACTGGACAAAAAAATTACCCAAAGAAAGCATAAAATCAAACAATTAGCGGCAATTGTCTCAAATTTAAAGAGGCACTTGTCTGCGCTTAGTTTTGACTACTCTACATTTTATATTTAATTATTGAATCTTGGATTTATGAAAAGGTAATTTGGTAAATTTAACTCCTATGTAGAGGCTAAAGGGACTTCTAGGTACACTCACTAAATTTATCTTTGCAATCTCATGAGATGCATAATAAATCTTGTAACTTATAGAAAAAATGTCATACTTAACATGAAAGAAGGGATATATTTGGTGAATACATTTAGAAGGCACAACAATTGAAGGTATATATTTGGTGAAAACATTTAAAAGGCACAGCAAATTGTGGATTGAAATTATCATGAAATCAAGCAATGACTACCATCTATATCACATTTAAAGAGGTACTTGTCTGTTCTTAGTTTTGACAGCCGCTCTACTTTCTGTATTTAGTTATTGAATCTTAGATTTACAAAGTGATGATTTTGTAAACTTAACTCCTATGTAGAGGCTTGAGGGGCTTCTAGATACACTTACTAAATTTATCTTTGTAGTCTCATGAGATGCATTATAAACCTTGTATCTATGGATAAAATCTCATACTTAACATGAATGAATGTAGATGTTTGGTGAATATATTTAGAAAGCACAACTTGTGGATTGAGATTATTACAGTGCCTTATGGACTATATGTCACATTTTAGTTTTGGGTCATGTTGTGGTAGGTGTGTACTAATACAAATTATGATATTTGTGGTATTAATTACTATAAATGTCATAAATAAATCATTTTTAGTCATAATTGAAAAAAATTGAATCATAACCAAACACGACATAAAGTCTAACTAAAATAATGTCTTAACCAGTATTACAATAAGTCATAATTAATACCACAATGAGTCAAAATCAAGTTATGACTAGCACCACAATAAATAATAATCAAAGACGACAAATGTCATAACTAGGGCATACAGTAAACACCCCATATTATAAAATTTCTTTTTAATTTTTTGACTTTTTTTTTTTTGAAAAAACTTTTAAATTTTTTAACCAAAAAATAAATTTCGTAAACGAGCCCTAAATTTGTACAAAGTATATAGGCTTGTCACCCCTACATTTTTAAAAGAAAATTACATGGTCAACTCCCCTAGTATTTTTTTAAAAAAAGAATTAAGATGTTTCCTTCTCTAAATCTAGTAGATATATATGGGTCAAAGTGTAAATTAAAAACTCGAACAATATAGGAAATCATCAATTTATGTTTTTATTGATAGATTATTTCATCTTGTATTGACTTTATAACTTTTAAAGGTTACAACAAAATGTGCATTTGCAATTTAAAAAATTATGAAATGGGATGGAGAATAATTTTGATGTTCCTTGAATTGAAAAAACATTACTCGGGATTTTAGTGCTTGTTATATCATAGATGGTTTTAAAATATGAAAAAGCAATTATAACAACTTAATATGACTTCACTTTAATAGAAAAATAGATTACACTTATTATTTTTTATAACTCAACATGAAAAAAAAGAAGATTATTTTTGCTTCTTTTTTTAATTTTTTCTCCACTTTTTATGTTAATAGAAAATTATATTATAGTTCATACATTTAAAAAAAAAAATTTAATTAGTATTAAGAAAAAATTCTGGGTCTATCCCTCATAGTAAATATATCATTGTCAATCTGTTAGCAAATTTTCAAAAATTAACATTAAACCAGATTGTTGGA